ATAAATTTATTATAATGTAAAATTTTAAAATTACATTTTTTACAAAAAAAAAAATGTTTAAAAAATTCTTTTCTAATAAAATTCTCTATAATATTAATATATGAAGGTATAAGTTTACTTTTTAGCAAAAAATTCTTCGAAATTTATATTATCTTTGCAAATTAAATTACACAAATATTTAATCAAGCTCTATTTATTTTACTTTATCTAAAAATGAAATACTAATCTAACAAACAATAAAATATAGAAGAACAAACAAACACGTGTTTGAAAAACATGTATAATATAGAAAATTTGAAACAATCTATTTGATTAAAACACTTATTATATAATATTATTATGTTTGAAAAACATTTACTATACATATCGTAAATATGTGATTACTATAATATATACCAATTTACAAGTGAAAATAAAATGTTTATATAACTAACTATAAACGAAAACAAACACCCGCGCGGTTGCGTGGGTCAAAATCTAGTATATATATTAAAGGATACGTTAAGACATGCCATGTATTTAACTGAGCTATTCTTGTATTTTGGATTATTATTATTTTGTGTGTGGCAAAGTACATATTATTAGAATTTTGGATTCAAATTTGTTTTAAAAATTATTAAATGATAGGGAAAGCCTTGCTTCCAAGCAAAGACCAAGAGTGGTACGTTTCTAGCCCACGGGACCGACCGAAAGTATATATATATCCCAACGGTTCGAGGACAAACCGAGACCTCCTCCTTCCTTGTTGCTCCTTTAAAGACACTGCATGACTCCTCAGCTGAAAACCAAAATCAGAAGCATTGTTTACATGAAGCATATGCCATAACCCACTTCCCATAATCACCACATCTGGATACTTGTTCCTCTTGATTACTGAGGATGATCGACGTTTTGAGCAGGATCTTGGTGGATCTCTGGGGAGAGATGCTGCTACAGGAAGAGGAGTGTTGTTTGCAACAGAAGCTTTACTCAATGAACATAGAAAGAGCTTATCTGGACAGAGATTCGTCATCCAGGTATTAAAAGATGAGAAGTTTTCCGTTTTATGAAAGGTTGCTTGCGTGTCAAGACACTCATACTCTCTCTCTGTTTTTAGGGTTTTGGAAATGTTGGAAAACAGAGGAATCAAAGGGTTTTGATGCTGCTGATTCTATCGATACTTGTTGAAGATTGTGATATTCTTTTCCCTGCAGCCCAGTTCCATCCTGATTACAAATCAAGACCTGGAAAAGTAAAACCATCTCCTCTCTGTTTCTAG